TGTAGAAACAAACGTTGTCTTCAAAGATTCAAAAGCAACTTTCGCTTCTTGATTCCATTGGAGTTTGTCTTTACAAGTCAAATGTGTAAGTGGAGCTACAACTCGAGAGAAGTCTTTGATGAAGATTCGATAGTAGTTGGAAAATCCCAAAAAACATTGGACATCTCTTATTATTTTTGAGATCTTCCAATCTATAATAATTTGAACTTTCTTAGGATCCATCATAAGTCCATCATTTGAAATGATGTAACCTAAGAAATCGACTTGAGTAGTGTAGAATACACACTTTTCTATTGTGGCATAGAGTCCTGCATCTCTTAATTTTTGTAACACACGATGAACATGAAGTTCACGTTCTTCTGAATTCTTAGAATAGATCAAAATGTCGTCTAGATAACAGACTACAAAATTGTCCAAAAACTCTCGAAAAACATCATTCGTTAGATGTTGAAAAGCTGCTGGTACATTTGTAAGTCCAAAAGGCATGACGTTGTATTCAAAATGTCCATACCTAATTCGAAACATAGTCTTCCATTCATCTCATTCTTTGATACGTACTAGATTGTATGCTCTCCGAAGATCTATTTTTGTATAGATCTTAGCTTGATTCAGCTCATCAAGAAGTCCAGATATTAAAGGTAGTAGATACCTGTTCTTGATGGTAATCTTGTTAAGTCCTCGATAATCAATACACATCCGCAATGATCCTTCTTTTTTCTTCACAAATAGAATTGGAGCTCCTGCCGGAGATTTAAAATGGCATATGAAATTCTTCGCTAGATTTTCTTCAATATACTCCTTGAGTTCAATCAACTCATTTTGTGATAAATTATAGATTGGTCCAAATGGTGGTTGTGCTTTTTCTTGAAGGTCAATTGAGCAATCATAGGGACAATGTTCTGGAAGTGTATTCGCATTCTTTTTTTCAAATACATCTTAAAATTCTTGATATTGGCTTAGAATGCCACTTGAAGTCTTTTCACCAATAGAAACAAGTGTGGCATAAATAATATATGGTGATTCTTTCATAGCAGCATGCAAGAAAGCTTTTGTACCTATAAATACGGATTTAATTGAACTGGATTTATGACTCTCTACTTGATTAACTACACTATTAGTTATATTTTTAGAGAAAGTAAGAGTTCGAGAAATCTAATCTATTTGAGGGTTGTATTTTCCTAACCACGATAAACCTAAAATGACTGGATTAGAGGGAGATCTAATGATATTAAATACTACAAAGCTATTATGACTATTGATTATTACTTCTATAGGAAAGGTTTTATGAGTAATATCTCCAGAAGACAATGGACGACCATCTATGACTTCTACATGAATAAGTTTAGTTTTCTTTACTAAAGATATGCTATGTCTTTTTGTAAATTCTTCATCTAAAAAACATGATGAGGCTCCTGAATCTAACAAGGCAGAGACTTTGTAATGTTTAGATCCTAAAATAACATTTAATGTAAAACAAGGAGAGGGCTCTGAGGAGAGAATAGGACCTTTACTAGATATTGTGCAAGGTTCCAGCCGCACGGTCCCTATTGTAGCTGGACAAACTCGTTTTCCAACATATTATCTTCTTTCACAGCCATACTCCTCATTTTGTGATTGTATCGTTTCTTTGGACAATGTTGAGCAGTGTGCTTTGGTTCTCTACAATATAAACATAATCCTTCTTGACGACGACGAGTCTTTTCTTGCTCAGTAAGAGGTTTGAAACGTACTGCATCAATTTACATATCCTCTACTTCCGAATGTATTTATTGAAGGGGTGTTGGTGTTGCCATTGAATTATAGTAACGTTGAGGTCCACTTGTACGGTTCTCAGATCGGAATTCAAAAAGGTGATTGTTGCACTTTACAGCAAAGTCAATTGCTTGACTCAATGTTTGAAGATCAGATAAGTTGAGCATTAATTTTTTTACCTCATATTGTAATCCGTAGAGAAATTGGCTAATAAGTGCAGCATCATCCTACTTGATATCAGTTGCAAGTTGTTGAAATTGTGAAGCGTACAACGTTACTGATCGATTGTTTTGTCATAAAATATGGATCTTATTGGTTGCAACACAAATTGCATCATGTTTTCTATACATGGATCAAAACTCTGCCAAAAAAGCCTCTAGATTATCCAATATTGGATCTCGTCATTCAAAAAAAGATGAAAACCACGATAGTCCTGAACCTGAAAGAAGCATACCAATGAATCTAACTTGCGATCCTAGAGTTGGATAGCTTTGGGGTTGAAGTTCAATCACAAGTTGTACTTGATTGATAAATCCTTGAAACTTGGATCTGGTGCCATCAAACTTCTCGGGTAGGGTAATTCTTGGTTCTCTAACATTTGAAGGACGTTCCACCATAGGAAAAAGGACATGGTTTGGTGCAGATGTTGAAGTAGCTTCAACCATTTCTATATCTTCACTTCCTGCCAATCTTGTTACTCCTTGTAGTGGTAAATTAAGTTGATGCATCGCAAGTATTAATTCCCTCAATTGTTCTTGCATTTGTGCCATTGCACTCTTCATTTCAACAAGTTCTCTCATGATAACACTTAGAAGAGAGAAGATGTCTAATATCGCTCAAGACAAATAGAAGAGAGGACTTGGGAATAAAAAAAAATACTAAGGACAATATCAGTTTAGAAGAGGGTAATCTGCAACCTCTAATATGCTTATATCTTATCAAAAAAAAGAGGTAATCCACTCTTAATCAAGATTAGACAAAGCTCTGATATTATATGTGTATCCTTGTCAATTTGTCAAGGGCAAGAACTCAATAAAAAGAAATTCAGACAAGTGAGCCTTCACTCAAAGAAAGGTAATAAAATCTAAATAAACAAGTATGTATATTGATGAGAAACTGGAATGGCTATTGCCAAAAGACAAGAAAATTAGAGACCCTTGAAACTAGACTAGAAGCAAGAAAGAAGTTGACAAGAGTGAAGAAGGCTTCACTCTTGTCTCTATATATATTATCTAATTAGGGGCTATGTGGCAATGTTCTATAGGACCTTCAATATGTGTTGACTTTGTAGGACACATGCCTTGACTTATAAGGCAAGTTTTTCTACGTGTGGGCCACATAGTTAGCTTGATCTTCAAGCTAACAACATGTGTGGCACATGGCCAACTTGTTGACCATGTTTTTAATCCAAAAAGTCAATTAAAGACACCTATGAAGTCAAAACAGCATCTATGAAGCTTCTGGGAAGCTTCCAAATTAAATACTATAGAATTAACTTACTTTTACCTAATTTTACTTACTTCCACTTATTTATATATGTAATTACTAGCTTACGTGAGTATGTCCGTGACACCTATTCTTAACAAAGATCATTCTATGTCTTTCAATAATTGTGGTTTTGATGTAAGTTCTTAGAATTAAATTCAACATTATAGTTGAAGTCATTCATTTAGCTTTTAAACTCTAAATTAATCTTGGTCATATTAATTCTTCAATATCTTCTTTAAGTTCTTTCTTTGACAAAATTAAAGTATTCTATTGATGTTATTTACTTCAAAGTAGAACATAACTTTCTTTTGATAAATCTAATTTTGTTGCCATTAATCTAGTCTTCTAAGTTCTTTCTTTTTTATATTGAGAATCCTAAAAATCTTTATGATTCCTACCTTAGAATACTTATGACTTATTAATTGATCTAAAAAAAATTAATAGAAAAATATAATAGAATAATAATTATAAATTCTTTATTATGAATTTTTTTATGATAATTATAATAAAAATTTGTCGTTATTTATAACTGATCTATAATAAATTTTATTTAGTATTCTTTGAATTTACTAAAACCACTTTATTTCTAATTATCTTACCTACCTAAGGTAGCTTAACCACCTTATCTATTATAATACATGTGCGGCTAATGACTATTCTATTTACATTAATGTCCTAACTTTTTCCTTCTAATCCTTTTTATATTAGCTCTTCTTCTACTTCTTTGTCTTCTTCATCTAACATCTTTTACAATCAAGTCTTCTCTTCTTGTTTTAACTTTTCATACTAATATTTTTCCTTCTTGTTTTAACTCTTTTTTCCACTGTTTATTTTAATAATAACTTATATTTAAGATTTTCTAAAATATATCTGCTAAAAAATGTAAAATATTTATTTTATTAAATTAGGCAATAAGTAAAATTCTAAATTTAAAAATATCCAAAAATAAATAGGTAAGGAAATAGATAATCATTATTTTTTATTAACTCAGAAAGCAAGGTCCAAGAGATACACTATGGCTAGTACTTCATCTCTAATAACTTATATTTAGAAGAATTCTTAATCACATTAAAGACATAAAAATGTTATAACCTATCATTGTTGATTTATATTTTGAAGTATCTAAAAACAATGAAATAATGTGATCTATATGCAAGACATATGAATAAATAGATGAAAGAAAATAATAGGTTAGGTTATGGAGCATGTTGCAAAAAGACATTAACCTGATCTATAACAAAATTCCGAAACAAAAAAACAATGTTTAAAGAAATTTGAAAAGACTTGAAAAAATAAACTTTGGGATTACAATTTTAAGCAAGTGTATGAAATGAGGATACGGCCTCCTCCTGGTATGTATAAGCCACTCAATATTGGAGCCATACAAGAAGGTATACAATATGAACCTACTCATTTTCCAAAAATAAATAAATAAAGCATGCTAGCCAAGGCGGCGGAACTTTGCCTTAACCCCTAAAGATGCAGATCGCAATTGACTTTCAAGGTTCTCCTTACGTGCACAACACTTTCGACAGTGCTACTCCCCAAGCAAAGAGGGACAATAAAGCTTACAGCACATCCAAATCTGCTCGCCACAAAGATCCATGAAGAACCGCCGCACAATAAGGCATGAGTCAAACAATCGGATTTGCACATGCCGCACAAGTCTATGCACTAGGGTCTCCAGCCAATCGAGGTCAATCGTGAATTACATCGCCGAGCCGTGGCGCCAAGCTGAAGTCGTTACAACGCGGCCTCCGACTGGAATCCCAACAGATCACTCGATCAACATGTTCAAATGCGACTCATCCAACCAGTTTATATTCAACCCCGACTTCTCCCCAGAAGTGCTGCGCCACTCCGTCTCCAGCTGCTGATACCAGCACCCAGAGTTCAGCATCAAGTCCACAGACGGACTTGCGTTTTTGCTTAGGTGCTACTAGCGTCCAGAGCTACCAGTGTCCGGTGAGAAACGATGCAGGACCTGAAGGACACCCTTGTTCGGGTGGGATGTCTGGCGTTGGTGACGTTGATGCTTGCGGTGCAAGCGGAAGCAGCTGTAGTGAGCTATGACTGGAACGTAGACTACATGAACGCTGCCCCTGATTGCGTGCAGAAGCTGGTTCTGGCTGTGAATGGCCAATTTCCATCCCCAACAATTCGTGCTGTAGAAGGTGATACAGTCGTGGTGCAGGTGACAAATCATATTCCTACTGAAGGAGTTTCATTTCACTGGCATGGCATACATCAGAGGGGCACGCCTTACTACGATGGCGCCGCGTATGTGTCCCAGTGCCCCATCAACCCTGGGGAGACCTTCACTTACAGGTTCAAAGTTGACAAGGTGAGCTTTGTGAACACTGTAGGTGTCACCCGTGACTGGCACGCACTGAATCTTTCACGAGGTCCTTGATTTCGCCCCTGACAGTGCGAGATTTAGCTGGGCACCAGATTGATCCATTCTGTGGGTGATCGCTACTAGGTCCGACCAATTTAACTAGATCGGGGTTGTCGATGTGCAGGCTGGAACCTACTTCTACCATGGCCACTTCGGATTGCAGCGCTCGGGAGGGATCTACGGCTCACTCATCGTCGACCTGCCTGCTGGCAAGAAGGAGCCGTTCTCGTACGATGCCGAGCTCAGCATCATCCTCAATGACTGGTGGCACAAGTCTGTTTACGAGCAAGAGCTCGGCCTCAACAGCGTTCCCTTCAAATTTGTGGGCGAGCCACAATCCTTGTTGATAGAGGGTCGCGGAAGATACAACTGCTCTCTACTTCCACAGAATGCCACCACTGCGCCCCCTGGCTGCCTGGTCTGCAATTCCACCGACCCTAGATGCGCACCTCATGTGTTGCCAGTCACTCCTGGAAAGACGTACCGTCTGCGCATCGCCAGCGTCGCGTCCCTGTCGTCCCTCAACTTTATCCTTGAGGGCCATAAAATGACGGTGGTCCAAGCCGACGCTCGCAACGTCCAGCCTTTCGTCGTCGACAATCTGGATGTGTATTCTGGTCAGAGTTACGACGTGCTGTTCACCGCCAACCAAGACGCCTCCAAGAACTACTGGGCTTCCATCAATGTGCGAGGCAGGAAACCTGCCACGCCCACCGGTCTCGCAATCCTGCAGTACCTGCCCAATCCAGCGAATCTGCTTCCCACCACCGCCGCTCCAGTAAGTCCTGTCTGGAACGACACCGCCACCAGCGTTGCGCTGGCGAAGAAGATTTATGCCAACGTCGATTGCGAAGCATCACCCCCCAAGAAATCTCACCGCACCGTGGTGATCCTGGGCACACAGAACAACATCGAAGGGCGCATCAAGTGGGCTTTGAACAACATTTCATACGTCCACAATCCCACGCCCGTCCTTGCAGCGCTGAAGTACAAGATCAGGGGAGTGATTGACGCCGCTCCACCGCCCAACTCCCCTGTCAAGAACTACGACGTCTATTCCCCACCGTCTGCGGCGTTTCGAAACGCCAGCTACGGCAGCCCGGTGTACATCTTCAAGAAGGACATCGTCGTGGATGTCATTGTCCAGAATGCCAACACCCTCAGCACTCCCAACAACAGTGAGATCCACCCCTGGCATCTGCACGGCCACGACTTTTGGGTCATGGGCTACGGCGACGGGCTATTCGACCTCAAAAAGGACGTTGCGAGCTTCAACTTGGTGGATCCGCCACTACGCAACACAGTGGCGGTGTTTCCCAACGGATGGGTAGCGATCCGGTTTGTGGCTGATAATCCCGGCGTGTGGCCTTTCCATTGCCATGTCGAACCACATTTTTACATGGGAATGGGCACCGTGTTCGCGGAGGGCATCCACAAGTTGCCCAGTTTGCCTAAGGAGACCTTGGGCTGCGGTCTGACCAAGCGGCGTCTGTAGGCCGGCAAAAGAACGATGAGGAAGTTCCGATTTGCAGCTCCTTCGGCGCTGCCGCAGAAGAGCGTGGCGTCGCACTCCTGGTTGGAACCCATGGAGGCGGATGAGTGCTGCGGATGCGTGCATGGCGTTCTGGGGATGCACGGAGGGCGTTAATATCATTCGGGAAATTCGTTGCTGTTGCAGCCTCCCTCTGTCGGGCTCTCGGCCGAACCTGCAAGTTGCATCGATTTGTTGCAACAATCCATTCTTCAGAATAAATTCAGAGACTTTTGTTGTTTTCTCAAACAATGACATGAGTAGTATACCTTTTTCAATGGAATTTAATGTTTTCTTCACAATGTAGTGGGGATTTCTGTGATTGGGCATTATTTTGCAAGCATGACCTGAATGTGATATTATCGTGTCATGTCGTGAATTTTAATTTCACTTCTTTTTCATCAGTATTTGTGAGATGGTCGTTGGTTTTTCATGTATTTTACTGTTACCTCGTTCAGTTCTCCAGTTTAAATTGAAGATAATAAATATGGCATTTTGTTGTCGTTTATTTATTTATTTATTTATAATCCTTTCTTTACATGAATGAAGAAAGGTAATGTTTAGATTGATATTTTTCAATTTAAACGATCATTTAGATAGGCAAGTTGACTTGTATGCCCCATTAAGATTTCATATTTATACTAATGCATACTGCATCTTTAAAATCATACACATGCTGTGGTTATTGTCTAGGAAAGTGAATTGGAGAATACCAAGCGGTCTTGTGTGCTAAGTTCAAATACATACATACTGCACACCAAGTTCAAACCAAAATGACCATAGTAATTGAAACCAGAGTGCTAAGTGCAAATACACACATATTGCACACAAAGTTCAAACCAAAATGACCATAGTAATTGAAACCAGATTTGAGAAAACCAATGTACTCAAGATTGCACTTAAACATGCTGCATTCACAAACACCAAAGTAGATGCAAATTTATATTTAAAATTTCCTCATCAGCTGTCATTGGCAATTATTTTTGCACAAGTAAATCTAAGATGTGTGACACTTAGAAATAACAAAGAATCTTAAAGAAATATTAAAAATAAAAACTTAGAAGAAATAATAAATAACCTCAAAAAAATACTAACCAAATCTTAAGTCAAACCGTAATGAAGTCCTAATAAAATCCTAAATCCTAACCAAACCTTAATCAAATCTTAAATCCTAATCAAATTCTAAATCTTAAACCAATCCTAATAAAATCCTAGTAAAATCCTAAATCCTAGATTAATTCTATTAAATTCTAAATAGCTCCAAAAAAAACTCCAATTAAATCTTAATCAATTATTACAGCTATTTGAAACCTCAAGTAGTATTAATTAAACAATAGATCTTAATTAAATTTTTACTTAGACTATAATTAAGAAGCAATTAACAAGCATACAAAATTTAAGAAAAATTAGACCTACCAATTGCAAGAAAAGCTCTCAAAACCTCTTAGTTGTTGGCCGCCCTCCTTCTTTAACTTCAATATTGATCTTTCAACAAAGATTTCTCTGTGTTGAATTATTCAATTGCTCCAAAAAATTATATTGTGTGTAGGTATTCAAGTTTTAATTACTTTCATTAATTTTTGCTTCAATCGAAGAAGTAGATATTGCCAAATTATAAAATTCCTCACTAATCCTAAATTTCAATTTTTTGAGACCATAATCCATAAAAACTCTTATATTGACCTCATTTCTATTATTTATCTTTATTTTATTAGGCTCTTCTATAATAACATCTTTATTTTATTTTTTACCATATAGTTGTGTAATCACATGACATTGTAATCATATTTTACCTTCTAGAATATATAAAATAGAATAGTTTGTTGTTGAATTTAAATTTAGAAGTATCATGAGATTTTAAAGAATTATTCTTAATATTATAAATAAAAGAATTGAAGGACACACTTGATTGAACTTACTTAAGAAAAGTTGAATCAATAATTAGTGTTGATTTCATTCTTCAAAGATGAAATTGTTTTGATTTTAAGAGAACTATTTTTTATTGATTTAAAGGTGCAAGTTCTTCTTTTGATATAAGATAAAATGCCTAAAAAAGACATCTAAAAAACCTTATTATTTTCTTAGCCAATACGTGAACTTGAATTCAAATCTTGACAAAAATATGCTTCAACAAGCTTGATAATAATTTAGACTACGTATTGATATGAAGTACTTGAGTTTTTTATGATTTGTATAAATAATTACTAGACTTGAAACATCTTCTAAATAATGGCACTATTTTTTAAATGAATCTACAATTGCAAGAACTTCTTTGTTGTGAATCTTATAGTTGATTTCTATTTATGAGTTCTTTTTGAATGAAAAAAAAATAATAAAGTTTATTATTTATTTCTATTTACAATAATACTACACTCAAAGCAAAGTTTAATATATTTATTTCTATGAACAATATTTTAAAAAAGTCAATACACTACTTAATTGATGCAAAAATAAAAGCTATCTTCAAAGCTTCAAATAATATTTTTGTTTCTTTATTCTACTTAAATTTGTCTTTATAGATCAAATATATAAGTGGAATAAGAGCTTAAGAAAAATTCTTAATGAAGATTCAATAATAATTAGCAAATCTTAAAAAATATAAAACAACTATTAATGTTCTTAGAACCTTCCAATTCATAATATTTTTAACTTTTTTAAGATCCATCATAAAACTATTATTTGAAATGATGTATCTTAAGAAGTCAACTTAAAAAGTGTGAAATATATATTTATTTTATCTTGGCATAGAATCTTGCATCTAAAAGTTTTTGTAACATGCAATCAATATGAAGTTTATATTCTTTTATATTCATAGTTTAGCATAAGATGTTGTCTAGATAATAAATAACAAAACTCTCAAAAGATATTATTTATTAGATATTGAAAAGAAATTGGTGTATTGATACTCTCAAAAGATATGATATTATTTTCAAAATTTTCATATTTAGTTTGAAATCAAATATTCTATTTATCTCTTTTTTTAATAGATATTTGATTATATATTTTTTATAGATTTATTTTTGTATACCTTTTAATTTGATTGATTTTAATTAAAAAATCTAAATATCAAAGATACTAAATATCTATTCTTAATAATAATCTTATTGAGTCCTTAACAATCCACACACATCTACAATAATCTATCTTTTTTCTTCACAAAGAAGATATGGATTCTCATTGGAGATTTAAAATAGTGTATGAAATTCTAAGATAAGTTCTTATCAATATATTTCTTGAATTTAGTTAACTTATTTTGTAATAAGTTATAGATTAATCCAAATGCAATTGAACTCTATGTGTTTTTTTTCAAAAATATCTTAAAAATCTTAATATTGACTTGAAATATCACTCAAAGTCTTTTTATTGTTAGAAATAGCTATGATATAAATAACATAAGAAGATTTTTTTTTTATTATACAACAAAATTCTTATACCTATCAATAAGAATTAAGTTGTACTAGACTTATGACTTTCTATTTGATTAATAAAAATCTTAATTGTAATCTAAAAAAATTAAGACTTCAAGAAATCTAATCTATTCTATATTTTTTTAGTTACAATAAATCTAAAATAATTAAATTAAAAATAGATCTATTGATATTAAATATTACAAAGCTATTGTAACTATTATTTATTATTTCTATGAGAAGGATTATATGAATAACATCTTTAAAAGACAATGGATGACCATCTATGACTTTTGTATGTATTGGTTTTGTTTCCTTCATTAAAAATATATTATGTCTTTTATCAAATTTTTTATCTAAGAAACAAGCTAAGGTCCTTAAATTTGACAAGATAAAAGCTTTGGGATGTTTGGATCTCAAACTAATATCTATTGTAAAACAAAGAGTAGATTTTGAGAAGAAAATATGATTTTTATTAGGTATTGTACAAGATTGCAATCGCATTGTCTCTATTGTAGTTGAACAAACTTATTTTTTTTATTGTAATGTGTTAAATTGAAGCTCATAAATGAATCATCTTAGCCAAATTGTTTTTTAGGTATTCTAAGTTAGTGTTCAATATTCTACTTCAAAAAAAGATCCAATAGTAGATTTTTATTTATAAATATTCCATAAAATAGGACAATACTTGATTTTGAATAAATAATCACTAATAGAGACTCTACTACTAATATCTTTGTTATTATTGGTATTGAAAAAGCTATAAAAGATTATCTTTATTTTGTATGGAAACCAAAGACTTAGTATCAATATACTTTTTTTGATACTTGAGTATAAAGAATATGATTTGTTGATGAAATTCTTATAGTTTGTGAATAAACTTGTTGACCAATAAGGTTATATATCCAATATAAAATTTGATTTTTGTAACATTGTATATTTGAATAATTAGTTCTTAATATAATATTTAATTTATTGAAGGAGTTTTTATATCTTATGATAACTTGATAGAGTTTAAAACTTGGACACATGTTAGAAAGCTTTCAAATATAAAGTATTTTTTTAAGATAGAGACAATATAATTGATTTGATATAATAAGATGTCTTTACTAATTTGTAACATTTGAATATCTAGGAACTTTGTCATGAAATCCAAGTCTCTCATTTTTATTAAACAGATATTTATCAAATCAAAGAAGTAGGTCAATACATTCTATTACTACTAGATATATTTAAAAAAAATTATTTTGCATATTTATTAATTTAAATGGTAATAATTATATTTAATGGATGTATAAAGATCAAGATGGAATAATAAATAGATGAATGAAGATTAAAATGGATGAAAGCTAATATTAAAATAAATGAAGTATATATAATATGGAATCATATTATTCTAATAGAGAAGGATTATGACTTGATTAAAGAGAAGAAATTAAAAGAAGGTCTGAAAGACAACCAAGATGAGGATTAGAGAATTTTTTTAAGATTATTATATTTGGATTTTAGAATAAATAATTGGTTTAAAAATCTTAAGCCTAAAAGAATAGTTTAATATCTTATCAACTAGATTTAGGATTGTATAAGTAATAGAGTGTCAATCTAGCAAGCATGTAATATAGATTAAGTACTTGTATATATGGATCTTTATTAAAAGAAGGTAAATGAAATATATTTGGTTATAGATCTAGGTTTTAGAGGTTGAAGATTAAAGATAGACATTAGAGCCAAAAGAAATGTCCAAGATAGTAATTTAATTTTTTAAAGATTTAAAAGAGGGGTAGTTGTTACCATCCTTCATAGATATATAAAAATCTTATATTTATAATTTGATATACAAAGCTCAATTATTTCTTGAGTTATGAAATTTTAAATACATGTAAGCAAGTATTTAGAAGATCATCAAGATATAAAATTAGGATGAT